GGGTTCTCCTCCCCTCGACTGACGGAAGATGTCCAAATTTGGGGGGTCATTTAAGGAGTAAAAGTCGTAACAGGTTTCGTAGGTGAACCTGCGGAAGGATCATTAATTAAAGAGCGGAATCGATGATTGAAAGGAACGAGTTTCCATCATCATCATCTCATCGTCCCTCACACACCCCACAGTGGGTCCTGCAAAACAACAAACAAACTCTCTTAACCATTAATTACGTCATTCCTCATAGGAGGGACAGAGACCAATATAGACACAACTTTTAAACGGGGGATCACTCGGCTCGTGGGTCGATGAAGATCGCAGCTAACTGCGTGTCGGTATGTGAATTGCAAGGCTACCAGATACATCGACAAATCGAACGCACATTGCGGCGGCGGCTCGCAAAAGACAGCTTGCCGTCACTCCTGCACGAGGGTCTGGAAACCATCCAAAATCCATGATTATCAATCATGTCATCGGGTCGCTTGCGCCCCCGCTCGGGAAATCCCCGGCATAGCCCATTTCCTCCTCTGCTATTCCTCCTCCTGCTCCGTTGGTAGGTAGGGCAGGCAGGCAGGCAGGCAGGCAGGCAGTGTCGGGGTTTCCTAATAACCAGTGCCGCACCTGCTGCCCGTAGTCATGCATGCAGAGAAGCCGACGTGATCAGACGTGAGCAAGCTGCCGGGACCGATATGCCAAATCTGTTGACACCGGATGGGAACGATATTACTATGGACGTCGTTGCTGGTGACTACAGCAGAGGGCAGGCAGGTAGGTACGGAGGCAGGAGAAAAGAAGTAGAAATTAGGCCGTGGGGAGGGTTATGATGGCTCTGTCTGCCCTGTAACATCTCCTCATGCTGCTGCTGCTGCTGTGCTGCTGCTCCTGCCTCTGCTTGCTCTCTTTCTCTCTCACACATGGGAGGAAAGAGGCGAGCTTAAGCCCAGGTGTGGGTAACAGAGGCTGGCCAGGCAAAAGTATACTAATAATAATAAAAATTTGTAGTAATGAGAATGTGGTGGCCACCCACCTGTGACCTCGTGAGTGGAGAGACCTACCCGCCAAATTTAGCATATTAATAAGCGGAGGAAAAGAAACCAAACAGGGATTCCCTTAGTAAGGGCGACTGAACCGGGAAGAGCCCAGCGCAAAACCCTCGTGTCCTAACCGGCACGAGGGGTGTTGCGTTTCGGAGGGTCCAGCACGCCGTGCCATACCGCTAAGTTAGAGCATGAATGCAGCCCACTGCCCATGGAGGGTGTCAGGCCGTTTTGGCGGGCGCCCGCGAGGGTAAAGATGGCACGGTCGGAAAGGGCTCTCCGTAGAGTCGGGTTGCTTGATAGTGCAGCCCAAAGCAGGTGGTAAACTCCATCTAAGGCTAATATGCCCACGAGACCGATAGCGAACAAGTACCGTGAGGGAAAGTTGAAAAGAACTTTGAAGAGAGAGTTCAAGAGTACGTAAAAACCGTTAAGAGCCAAACGGATGGAACCTTGAAGGTCGAACCGGGGATTCAGGCGGCCGACCTCGGCTGGGTGCGGGTCTCTCTGTCTGTCCGCCGATTCAGTCGGAAGCAGCGACCACGAATGCTTGGGCGTGCCTGCACCCACGCTGGCGTCGGCGGCGATATTCCCTCGTTGTAGGGCGCCGCGACCCGTTGCTGGGGACGTCGAAGGCCCGGACGGACTGGTAGCCTTGAGTCTTCTTCCTTCTCCTTTTCTCCTTCTTCCGCTTGCCTACCGGCAGCGGCGGGTGAGGAGAATACACGGGAGGAGGAGGAGTAGGGGATTGGCGAAACCGCCGGTGATCCTGGCGGTCCTGCGACGGTCGCAAAGACGAGCCAGCCCGTGCAAGCGGCTGTCTCTCGCGGCGTGCAAAGAGATCGGTGAAACCATCCGACCCGTCTTGAAACACGGACCAAGGAGTCTAACATGTGTGCGAGTCAGTGGGCGCACTAAACCCAAAGGCGTAATGAAAGTGACAGGCCTGGCGTGTGCACCTTTCAGTGGTGCATGGGCTGGAGCCGGGGCCGATCCCCTCGCCGGGTGCTGACTCTGCTGCCTCCACCTACCATCCGGCCCCAAGACGGGTAAGCACTGGTCGAGTTTTCCCTTTGCCCCTGTCGACAAGGTGGTGCGGCTTAAGGAGGGTGCTGGCTGCAGGGAATGCGATGGCGTGAAATATCCTCCAGCCTGCATGTATGTATGTTGTGCAGGAAGGGAAGGGGCGCAGGCCGGGACTTGCTGTGATGTCGCCCTCGTCACCGGCCGTCGCCGTCGTCGCGAGACGTGCGTGCGAGTGTGTGTGTGGCGGCAGGCAGGGAGCAGCAAGTACCAAGAGCAGACATGTTGGGACCCGAAAGATGGTGAACTTTTGCCTGGCCAGGATGAAGCCAGAGGAAACTCTGGTGGAGGTCCGTAGCGATTCTGACGTGCAAATCGTCGTCTGAGCTGGGCTAGGGGGAAGACTAAAACGTTCTTTTGTAGTGGTTTTTTCCCTCTAACGGAATCGATCTTAGCTGCATGCAAACTAATCGAATCATCTAGGGGAGCTGGGTTCCCTCTGAAGTTTCCCCCAGGATAGCTGGAAATCTCAGGATTAATTTTCATCCGGTAAAGCGAAGATTAAGGTGTTGGGAAAGAAACGTCCTAACCTATTCTCAAACTTTAAAATGGGGGTGAGATGCCGAGCTTGCTTGAAGAATAATGAAAGCTTGGCAACTAATATGAGTACCTAGTGGGCCATTTTTGGTAAGCAGAACTGGCGCCTGTGGGATGAACCAACGTCGAGTTAAGGGGCCTAAACAATGCTCATTCCCGGAATCACCAAAGCGTGGTTGCTTAGACGCAGGACGGTGGCCCTGGAAGTTTGGGATCCGCTAAGGAGTGTGTAACAACTCACTGCGAAGAACTAGCCTTAAAATGGCATGGCGCTCAAGCATTCTCCCGATACTCGACCGCCGGGGGACTAGCGGCCACGCTCTGTCTCAGAGGCGAGGAGGTCTCGAAGCCCCGGCGAGTAAGAGGGTCGCGGTGGTGAGCGTTGAAGGGTTTCGGCGTGGGCCGGCCTGGAGCCGCCACCGGGTGCAGATCTTGGTGGTAGTAGCAAATATCGAGAGAGGAGCCCTTGAAGGCCGAAGCGGAGCAGGGTTCCATGTGAACATCAGTTGGACATGGGTTAGTCGCTCCTAAGCCCAAGGCTAAGGCCTGATCCCACGCCAGTGGGCAAAGACATGAAGGCTGGCAGCAGCTGCAGCAGCAGCAGCAACAGCAGCAGAACGGCTGGATCCGTTTGTTGTTGCTGCTCTCCGCAGCTGCAGATGAAGAAGAAGAAGCATTCGGCGAAAGGCATAGAAATGATTATTAAAAGCCTCCTCGCTACAGGCTTGACAAGGCCGCCAGTTGCTTCGGGATCAGTGGCGAAAGGGAATACGGTACTTATTCCGTAACCAGGACTCGGATACCAGGCAGGGAGGGCTGGGTGCTTTAAATCAGCCAGCCAGCCGCCCTGCCAGTATGGAGGATCCCGGAACGGGAACCTGCTCGCGCCCACCGGCGGTGGTCCGGGAAAGAGTTTTCTTTTCTGTTTAAGGCGCCGTGACCCTCAAAGCCCTCCGCTGTGAGAGAGGGTGTTGGTAAACACGGTGTGCCGTAGAGCGCCGCGGTTCTTGCGGCGTCCCGAGCGCCACCGCCGGTCCGTGAAAACGCGAGGCTGGTCCAAACTCCGGCTGAGTCGGGACCACTGTTGCTGCTTGCTCAGTGCCCGCTAATGGCCCCCTATTTCGGTCCTGTGCGTACCCATATCCGCATCAGGTCTCCAAGGTAAGCAGCCTCTGGACGATAGATTAAGTAGGTAAGGGAAGTCGGCAAGTTAGATCCGTAACTTCGGGATAAGGATTGGCTCTGAGGGTCGGGCCAGTCGGGCCTGTGCAGGAAGCGGGCCTGGGCTCGGGCGCAGGACTGGGCGAGGCGAAGGAACATCAGGCAGTCTTCAGTCAGTCAGTTAGTCAGTCAGCCAGTCAGAGGTGTGTGTCACAACAGCTTCTGCTGCTCCTGCTGCTGCTGCTGCTGCGGCTGCCTCCCGAACCGAGGGTCGGACCGGCGTGTCTCCGTGTCCCTTCCGTGGAATGCGCTAGGCTGCGTGGGCGTGTGTAGTCCTCGGGTGGGTGAGGGCGGGGAGGTGATGGGCGATGGCAACGGCGACATAAAGCCGCCAGCAGCAGCCTGTCTAACAACCTCCTTAGCCTCCTCCTGCTCTCCTGGCTCACTGAAAGAAGCCCACCTCGGCTGGCGCCCAACGATCAGCTCAGAACTGGCACGGACAAGGGGAATCCGACTGTCTAATTAAAACAAAGCATCGCGAAGGTCACAGATGGATGTTGACGCGATGTGATTTCTGCCCAGTGCTCTGAATGTCAAAGTGAAGCGATTCAACCAAGCGCGGGGTAAACGGCGGGGAGTAACTATGACTCTCTTAAGGTAGCCAAATGCCTCGTCATCTAATTAGTGACGCGCATGAATGGATTAACGAGATTCCCACTGTCCCTATCTACTATCTAGCGAACCCACAGGCAGGGGAACGGGCCTGCACCAAACAGCGGGGAAAGAAGACCCTGTTGAGCTTGACTCTAGTCTGATTTTGTAGAGAGACATCAGAGGTGTAGCATAAGTGGGAGGTGGCTCTGCCTAGCGTAGGGCGGCCGTCAATGAAATACCACTACTCAGATCGTTTCTTTACTTACTCGGTGAGACGGAATCGGAGTCTTCCCATGCGGGAGTGCCTCCTCTTTCTAGCCCAAAGCGGCGAAAGTGGACGGTTGGTAGGACGGACGGATGGACGGCGGCTGGATGACCGCGGGGAGTTACTTCTTTGGCTAGTACTCCACCTCTCCTCCTGCTCCACTTCCAAGCCCGGGCGTTCGCGCCCGCCGCGATCCGCTCGAGGACATAATCAGGTGGGGAGTTTTGACTGGGGCGGTACATCTGTCAAATGATAACGCAGTTGTCCTAAGGCCAGCCAGCGTGCGACAGAAACCTCGGGGCGTAGAGCAAAGAGCAAATGTGGCTTGATCCGGATTCTCAGTACGATACGGACTGCTGAAAGCAAGGTCTATCGATCTTTTGACTTTAAGAGTTTTAAGCAAGAGGTGTCAAGAAAAAAGTTACCACAGGATAAAACTGGCTTGTGGCGGCCAAGCGTTCATAGCGAGGGTCGCTTTTTTGATCCTTCGATGTCGGGCTCTTCCTATCATTGTGAAGCAGAATTCCACCAAGCGTTGGATTGTTCACCCACCAATAGGGAAGTGAGCAGGGTTAGACCGTCGTGAGACAGGTTAGTTTTACCCTACTGTTAAAAGTGTGTCGTTTGCGACAGGCAGTCCGTCAGTACGAGAGGAACGGCAGGTCCGGACCAATGTACCGCTCTTGGTCGAGCGGCCAGTGGAGCGAGGATACGGTCCGTGGATTTATGCCTGAAAGCCTCAAGGCAGCATCCCGCTGGAGAAGCAACGATATGGACGTACGGACTGCGTTGGGACGGTCACACTTGAGACGTGCGGTGCCGCTCTGTCGGCTCGCAGAATGGACCCAAGCAAGGTTAGCGGGGGAGCTGCGATGATGGAATTTTAGTGCGGCTTCCCATTCCAAATACAGAACACCCGAATGCCGATGGCCGTACGAATCGCTTGTAGACGACTTGCGTTACCGGCAGGGCGTTTTAGGTGCGAGCAGCATCCTCACTGCGAACACTAAGACTGCTCCCTCAACGCTGGAGATTCGTCCTCTGCATGTACACGATTCTTTGCGAACTGGCCAAGTAAGGATCTCGGGAAGACGGAAAAACAGAATGAGAAGCACAGCTCAAGTGCAACCCATGTCCAACCGTCTCACTCGTCAGCGTTGTCACTCCAACAGTTTGGTAGCTTGAAGAGGCAGCAGCAGCAGCAGCAGCAGCAGCAGCATCAGAAGCAATGCACGATGCTCTACTGTCCGCCGTTTCCATTCTGACGTGAATTTTAAGCAGCTAACTCTCTAAACCATCTATTATAAAGGGCAAAACAAACGAATCGGTTCTCTAGCCTTAAAGGGGCAGCAGCAGGATCTGAAGCAATGCATGTTGTCCCTCTGCTGTGTGCCGTTTCCATTCTGACGTGAAGTTCACGCAGCTAACTCTCTAAACCATCCATTATAAGGAGCAACAAACCGACATCGGTTCTCTAGCTTAAAGAGGCAGCAGCAGGATCAGAAAGCAATGCATGATGCTCTGCTCCCGGCATCATCATCATCTCATCATCATCACCACCACCAGCAGCTAGCTAGCTAGCTAGCCAGCCACCCAGGAGGCTACTGTTTTATACCAGACTTGTTCCGGAAAGTTTCCGGCGGCCCCGCCCCCGAGAGAGATGATGATTCCCCCCCGGGCCCGGAACTTACCCGAGGAAAAAAGTATGTAGCCGGGCCTCTGTGACGGGGATCGCGCCAAGAGGTTATTTTGGGTTTTTTTCCGGCCGGCCGACATCTGGGCCTCCGGCATGTACCGGAGATGTTCCGTTCAGTTGCCGTACGGACGTAGAGAAGATGAATTGCCTCCCCGTTTCAACGGGAAAAGCAGGTTGAGGTGGAAGGAGCGCAGCTCAAGTGAAAAACCCTGTCGCCAACTGTCTCCTCTGCGTTTTGCTCCAACAGTTTGGAAGCTACATTCAAAAAAAAAAAAAAAAAACGACTGAGACTCCGAAAATTTTCGACGAGGATTGCCCGTTGAAAAGACACACTGCGATGCATGGTGTCCCGGAGACATATACACCATTTTCTCACGATCTGTATATATATATATATATATATATATAGGGAGACGGTGGTGCTTGCCGCTCCTCCAAGAGGTGGAAGAAAAAAAGCTGGGTTAATGGTGATTGCTCGCCCTGAGTGTAGCAGGTTGCCTTTGCTGTCTTCCATCGGCCCATTGCTCCGGCCGGCCGGCATCTGGGCCTCCGGCATGTACCGGAGATGTTCCGTTCAGTTGCCGTTACGGGGCGTAGACAAGTTGAATTTTCGTCCCCGTTTCAACGGGAAAAAGCAGGTTGAGGTGAAAGGAGCGCATCTCAAGTGAAGCCATTTTCGCAACCCGTCTCCCCTGCGTTTTGCTCCAACAGTTTTGGAAGCTACATTCAAAAAAAAAAAAAAACGATGAGACTCCGAAAATTTTCGACGAGGATTGCCCGTTGAAAAGAACACTGCGATGCATGGTGTCCGGAGATATACACCATTTTCTTTACGATCTGTATATATATAGGGAGACGGTGGTGCTTGCCGCTCCCCCA